CCTAGCATAACATAGCGCAGCCTAGCATACCCTAGCATAGCATAGCATAGCATAGCGCAGGTGTAGATGCAGATGCAGGTGTAGATGTTAATGTAGCTGTCGGTGTAGATGTAGATGTTGCTTTCCTAGATGCTCCAACTCCTAGGTAGGGTCGCACTGGGAAAATGAGTTTTGGCCATTGTCAAAATATCGTAGGCGGAAGGTTCTCGATGTAGCCGGGATGCCGTTGTTATTTTCAAGGGGTGGTTGCCCTTGAAGATTGGTCTATGTCGTCATTGTTTTTCTTGCGAAGTCGGTTCCACAAGTGTGACAATTGCGCGCGTAACGCCTCAACCGCTTGCGGCCCCTTTCTGGTGTCAAGAAATTGCCACGCTTGCCAGACTGCGACAATATCGCACATACCGCCCCCCAACCTGTGCGGATCCCTTGCTGTCGCCGAGAAAGTGCAACGTCTGCCAGGCGTTGCGACATTGGCGCGCGTAGCGCCCCCACTCCGTACTGACCCCCTCTTGCGCCGAGAAAGTGCAGCGTTTGCTAGGCATTGCGGCAATGGCGCGAATGGCGCTCCACCCCGTGCGGACTCCATCTGGTGCAGAGAGAGCGCCAGGCCCGCTGGGCTTTGCGACAATGGCGCGGGTCGTCTTCCCCTCCCTTGCGGACCCCCTTCCGGCGTCAAGCCTGCGCCACGCTTGCTAAGGTTTGCGACAATGGCGTGCGTACCTCCTCCCCGTGTGCGGACCCCCATCAGAGAAAGTGCCGCGCCTGCTAGGCTTCGCGAAAACGACGCGCATAGCGCACCCCATCCCATGTTGACCCCTCTGGGTGTCGAGAAACTGCCACGCTTACTAGGTTTTGCGACAGTAGCGCGCATAGCGCCCCCACCTCCTAAAGACCCCTTCTGGCGCCGAGAAAGTGCAACATTTGCCACGCACTGCGAGCCATTGCCCGCGTTGCGCCCCCGCCCAATGCACCCCCCTGTGGTGTCGAGAAAATGCTTCGCCTGCTAACCTGTGAGCCCGCGCAGCTCACCCACCCCATGCGCACCCTTGTGCTCTCGATAAATTGCCACGCCTGCCAGCTTGTGAGCCATCGCCCGCATACCGTCCCTAACCCCCCGCACACCTCCTAGGGTGTCGCGAAAATGCCGCGCCCTCTAGCTTGCGAGCTATGGCCCGCGCAGCGCCACCGCCCAGTGCGCACCCCCTGCGGTGTGGAGAAATTGCCACGCCTGCTAGCTTGTGAGCCATGACCCGCATAGCGCCGTCGAGAAGTGCCACGCCTGCTCGCCTGCGAGCCATGCGTCTGATTGTCTGACGCGTACGAGCGAGTAGAAGGCTAATGCGTGTACGTATGGCAAATGTCCGCGCGAGCGACACGCGGAGGGAAGAGAAAGATAAGGGATGAGAAGAAACACGGGTACGACGCGGGTGGAGAGAAAATCAGGGACCTATCAAGCATTTGGGGAAACAATCCGGCATGCATCAACCGTTGCAAGCGCCATGGCCGATTTGCGCAGGGTCGCGGCCCTTGGGGCGCAGGTCTTTCACAGTTGTCGAGGGGTCGGCGTTGTGGGAGCGCAGGTGCTTCGTAATTATACGGAGGTGGCGTGAAATTGGGAGCGTGGACCCTTTTGAGATGTATGAGGCTCGTGGCCATGGGAGCGCGAATCCTCTGAATGATGGGAGGCGCGAGCTCGCTCATTTTCGCTCGGATTTAAGAATTGAGGCGGCCACGTTGCCACGTAGGCGATGGCAGAGTAGATTTATGAAGCTGGTTTCTTGGATCTAAAGAGGTGTCTAAGACGACCGAAGCTGGAGCATACAGGGCCCCAAGACGGCTCAAGATGGCCCCAGGAAGCTTTTTGGATCCCAAGAGCGTACGAAAAAACAGCCCCAAAATTGACCAAGAGGGCCCCGATATTGCCCCAACACGGACGGCCTAAAGCAGCTCCAAGACGACGCAAGTGGGCGTTTGGAGCGTGCCGAGACGACCTTAGAAAGCACCCAGGTCCCCAGCCGCTGCCACACGGCCAAAGAGGGTACATGAGGTCCCCGCGAAGACGCCAATAGGCCCCCAACAGGCCTTCCAGAGGCCTCCAAGGCGTCGCAACGTGACCCTGAGAGATGCTTCAGACGACCTCGGAGGGCCCCAGGACGGTTCAGAAGGGCCCAAGACGGCGTAACCAGCCCTACGACGTTGGAAGTTGTTGGGCGAGTGTCCCCAAGAGGTGCAAACACATCCTGACACATGTCCAACAAGTGGCAACAAGCAGCAGCAAGCAGCGACAACGTCTGCTGCAGTGCTTCCTGTTGCGCCCAGCGTAGGATTCACAAGTGTTCATGGAGGACAGGCATCGTAAGCAAGCGACTATGTTCGTGCTTTTGTGGGATTTGGGCTGGAGACTTACACGAGGGGAGCAGGATAACATGTTATCCTACATCACCTCGCCAACACTTAAAGCCAACTCAGCGTGACGGCTCATGGCCTGGAGGCCCCACAGTCTGGCTTGCGGACTGGCGAAGCTGCGTGCTGCGACATGCCGGAAACTTTCGGTGGTTTCGTCCGAGATAGCGAACGCGGAGAGTTGGGGCGCGGCGCTTTCGCCGTCGTGTACGCTTGCGAGCGCAAGAGCGATAGTGCCAAGTTTGCGGCCAAGGCGCTGGACCTGCGCCAATTGCGCCTCTTCGTCGACCCGGCCCGGGAGGTGAAGAAGCTCCGGCGCGAGGCGACTGTGCTCCAGCAGCTCCCGCCGCACCCGAACCTCGTGAAGTTCGTAGATGTCATCCAGGAGGGCCACTGGCTAATATTCTTGCTCGAGCTCGTCGAGGGCGGCAACCTGTACAAGGCGCTCGTCAGCCGGCCTACCGGGCGCGACGGAAGGTCGAAGCTCCGCGAGCCCGAGGCGTGCCACGTCTTCCGGCAGCTGGTGGACGGCCTCAACGTGCTGCACAGCCTCAATGTGGTGCACAGGGACCTCAAGCTCGAGAACGTGCTCGTGGTCCAGAAGCGGGCCGTAGGGCGCGACCTCCTGCTCGACGTCAAGATTGCGGACTTCGGGCTGTCCAAGTCCGTCGGCGAGGGCGTGAGCGAGGCGCGCTCCACGGTGGGCTCCCCCCGCTACATGGCGCCCGAGGTGATAGCCAAGGGCCCCCACGACCGCCCGGCCGACCTCTGGAGCCTGGGCATCCTGGCGCACGTGATGCTCGACGGCCGCTTCCCGTGCACGGGCGCGTCGGTGATCGTGGGCGGGAGACGTGTCCACATCCGCGGCCTCACGGGCCGGGTCCCGGGGCCGCGACCCCATGGAGACGAGGCGGGTCCTCGCGGATGCCCCGCGCGGAATGCATCTGTGCGACCGCGTAGCCTTATGTCGGGCGTGTCCCCCCCCAAAAACCCCAGAATGCCCCAAAAAGGTAAAACAAATTTCAAAAAATAGCCCCCAGATCATTTTTGGATTATTTTTGGGCTATTTTGGGGGTTTTTGTTTTTTCTCGTCGAAAACCCCCCTGTGGGGGGACAGGCCCGACTTAAGCGTAGCCACGGGATCCCGCCCCGGAGCCCAGACAGCGAGGGCGTGGATGCGGACCTGCTCGCCGCGCGTGAGGCCAAGGCGCCCCAGAAGGCCGTGGACGCGGCGATCGGCCGGCTGCCCGTGAGCCCCGCGGCGCGGGACGCCGTGCTCCGCCTCCTGCGCCGGGAGCCGGCCGAGCGCCTGACGGCGCCGCAGCTGTGCAGCCACCCGTGGCTGAGCGGCGGCGGGCGCGCGAGCGCGGCCGCGGCCGAGGTCGGAGCATCAGAGGCGAGGATGGGGGCGAAGGGCCCAGGAGCGGGCACTGCACGCGTTCGCTGGGGAGCCTCGCCGGAGGCACGGAGCATCGACGCCCCTGGATGCGCGTCTTGCTCTCCCCTGGACTCTTCGCCGCTGCCGTCGCCCCCGAGAGCAGGGCGAGCCTGGAAGGAGGAGAAGAGATACGACTACGTGCCGTGCTCGGAGCGTCCGTGTCGACATGCGTCGCGTGTTGGCTCAGCGTATTGGCCCACGTTTTGGCGAACGCACCGCGCCATACCTACGTGTTCAGTCTACGCGTTGAGCTCCGCACCAATACGCTGCGTGTTGCGTGTCACAAATCGGAGCAGCTCAGACCGACGCCACTGCTCGTCCTGGAGGGCCCCTGTCGCCACGGCCGGAGGTCTCCTCGAAGCTCTGGGTCGGCACGCACCCCGGGAGAGGTCCGTGGCGTAACGGCGTCGGCATCTGCTTGACCCCCCTTATCGGGGGCCGCCAGATATTTTGTTTTTTCCCAACCATCCTGTGGTGTTGGGTCCTCGTTTTGAAGAGACGGTCCCCGCGTTCCTCCTTCTCCTTCTCCTCCTTCTCCTCCTCCTCCTTCTCGTCGCCCTCCTCCCTCCTGCGTTCGCATGCCTCCCCACCGCCCATTTCGGCACACCCCTCACACGTTTCGTGGCCCCATAGGCAGCTCCACCGAAGGCCCCAGTGGCTGCGTTCGCATGCCTCCCCACCACCCATTTCGGCACACCCCTCACACGTTTCGTGGCCCCATAGGGAGCTCCACCGAAGGCCCCAGTGGCTGCGTTCGCATGCCTCCCCACAACCCATTTCGGCACACCCCTCACACGTTTCGTGGCCCCATAGGGAGCTCCACCGAAGGCCCCAGTGGCTGCGTTCGCATGCCTCCCCACCACCCATTTCGGCACACCCCTCACACGTTTCGTGGCCCCATAGGGAGCTCCACCGAAGGCCCCAGTGGCTGCGTTCGCATGCCCCCCCACCACCCATTTCGGCACACCCCTCACACGTTTCGTGGCCCCATAGGGAGCTCCACCGAAGGCCCCAGTGGCAGGGTCCGCATGCCTCCCCACCACCCATTTCGGCACACCCCTCACACGTTTCGTGGCCCCATAGGGAGCTCCACCGAAGGCCCCAGTGGCTGCGTTCGCATGCCTCCCCACCACCCATTTCGGCACACCCCTCACACGTTTCGTGGCCCCATAGGGAGCTCCACCGAAGGCCCCAGTGGCTGCGTTCGCATGCCTCCCCACCACCCATTTCGGCACACCCCTCACACGTTTCGTGGCCCCATAGGGAGCTCCACCGAAGGCCCCAGTGGCAGGGTCCGTATGCCTCCCCACCACCCGTTTCGGCACACCCCTCACACGTTTCGTGGCCCCATAGGGAGCTCCACCGAAGGCCCCAGTGGCTGCGTTCGCATGCCTCCCCGCCACCCATTTCGGCACACCCCTCACACGTTTCGTGGCCCCATAGGGAGCTCCACCGAAGGCCCCAGTGGCTGCCGCATGCCTCCCCACCGCCCATTTCGGCACACCCCTCACACGTTTCGTGGCCCCATAGGGAGCTCCACCGAAGGCCCCAGTGGCTGCGTTCGCATGCCTCCCCACCACCCATTTCGGCACACCCCTCACACGTTTCGTGGCCCCATAGGGAGCTCCACCGAAGGCCCCAGTGGCAGGGTCCGCATGCCTCCCCACCACCCATTTCGGCACACCTTCACACGTTTCGTGGCCCCATAGGGAGCTCCACCGAAGGCCCCAGTGGCGCGGTGCCTATGAGAAGAGGGGCCTAGTTTGCGTGCCCCCTCCTTCGTCTCATATCCGTGCGGTACTCGCAGCTGCATATGGTTGGGTCCTTCGCCAGGCTAATTTCTTCCTCCTCCTCCTCCTCCTCCTCCTCCTCCTCATCTTCCTCCTCCTCCTCCTCCTCCTCCCCAATCCTCCTCCTCCTCCTCCTCCTCCTCCTCTTCCTCCTCCTCCTCCCCAATCCTCCTCCTCCTCCCTCCTCCTCCTCCTCCCTCTCCTCCTCCTCCCCTCCTCCTCCTCCTCCTCCTCCTCCTCCTCCTCCTCCTCCTCCTCCTCCTCCTCCTCCTCCTCCTCCTCCTCCTCCTCCTCCTGAGACAGCGGCAGCTCCAGACCAGCCCCCAGGCCCCTCCCTGGACCCAAGCGCACCAGCCAATCCGTTCCCCGAGCGGCGTCCAGCTGGGGCGACGCGGGGGCCCCCCGAAGGCCAGCTGCCGCTGTCTCGATTCGCCCTGCCTCTGCCAAGGGCGAGGGCGCCGCCGCCGCCCCCTTCGCGGCCGTCGCCGTGGCCTCGCGGGAGGGCCGCCCGAGGCCCCGCGGCCCGGGCGGCGGCGCCGACGGCGGCGCCAAGCGGCTGCGGGCGGCGTCGGCGGGCCCGGAGGGCCTCCCCGCAGCCGCGGCCGGAGCAGCGGGGGCCCCGAACGTCAGCCCGCATAGTGAGGACGCGCGGCACGGATGCAGGGGCCGTGGAAGGCCATGCCGGCGCTTCGCGAGCGGGGCGGGGCCAGCGAGAGCGGCCTGGGATGGGCCGAAGGGGCAGGATGCAGGGGTGACCCGTGGAGAGTCGCTCGTCCTTAGTATGCGGGTTGACTGCACCCAGACCTCCAAAATGCACTGGCGAATGCACTCGGAGGTTTTGCCCTGCGATGTCGGTCTCTGGGGGCCCACGCCGGGCCCCAGGACCGCCAGCAAGAACGGCTAAGTTGGCCCTTGGGAAGTTTCGGGCCGGGCGAAAGGGAGGGATTGGGAAAGGGGGAGTTACGAAATTTGCTGCATGCAGCTGGTTTCGGCCTCACTGAGGGGCCCATTGTTCGATACATGGGCGCCTCCCAGCGCCGGGAGGCGCCGGGAAAATCAGCGACGCGAGCTGATTCTCAAACCCCCCGTTTGCTATCCCCCCCTTTCGCCCGACTCGAAAGTTGTCCAGAGTTCGGGAGCCCCAGAATGGAAAAAACAGGGCACCTTTTCGGCGCGTCGCGCCGCCAGTTGGTGGCCCACCGCGCTTCGGCGCGGCACGCTGAGCATGTGCCAGTCCCCCACCCCCAGGCGGCGACGGAACCTGTGCATATCCACTGCTCCCTGGCCAGGCCCACTCTGAGCCCAGGGTCTGTGTATATGTGCATACGCCCTCCTGGCCAAGCCAGGAGGACGTGTCGTATGCACCGCTGCTGGGTTCAGGATGGGCCTGGCCAGGGAGCAGTGGGTGCGCGCAGAAGTCGTCGCCCTCCGCGTCCAGAGTTTTTCCCAGCCTTCCGTCCCACGGAGCAGGGCGGCAGGCCACCCGCCCACAGGGCGTGGCGCGTCGCAGGGGCCGCCGACGCGGCGCGCACAGAAGCTGGAGCTCCAGGCCGCATCTGCCCACACCTCTGGTGCCGCTCTCCCCTCCCCTCTCGCTTCCCTTCCTTTCGGGCCTGGCAGGAGGAGGGCGGGGAGGGAGGGAGAGAGGGAGGGACGGCGCAACGTTTCGGGCGGGGCGTCCGTCAGGGCACGCGGGCTGCTGGCGCCCGCTGCGCCCACCTCTTTGGCGGGAGGGGCCGCGGTAAAAGACGGGGGTGGGAAAACCCTTCCCTCCCCCCGGCGCCGTCAGAATCAGACGACGACTGAAAAGCAGCGCGAGGCTCGGCGATCCGGGCATGGCACACCCGATCTGCGCGCCCGTGGCGGAGAAAGGCAAGGGTATAGCACGTTTTGGCATGCGTGCCTCCAGGTCCCTGCAGGAAGGGCGTCGCGGAGGGGCACCCCCCGACCGCGACCCGGAGCGTGGACCGTGGAGCGTGTTGCCAGGCATCATGACGGGAAGCAGAAGAAAGCAGGCTATCGGCTGTTGCGCTGGCAGTGAGCGTCGGGTCTCGCCTGTGACCTCGTGGAGGGGGGCTCCTGGGGGAAGAGGCGGTGGAGACCGCGCGAACGGCGTCCCAGGCAGGCCGGCCTCGTTGGGACCGCGCGAGGAGAGGGCCCGCCTGTTCTGGGGCGCGACGCAGCGCGTGTACGAGGCGCGGGGCATGCTCTTGGAGCGCGGAGGTGCTAGTGTTAAGTCGGGCATGTCCCTCTACAGGAGGAAAGTTCAAAAATAGTACACAATTAGTCCGAGGACGATCCTCTCATTTTTGTAATTATTGTTTGAATATGTTCTGACTCTTTTTTATTCTTCTTACAGAATTTGCCTGTAGGAGGACATGCCCGACCCAGTGCTAGTGCGGATGTCAGACTCGTGGGCGGTCCGTCGGTCCGCCGCGTAGAAGTGACTGAGGGCGCTACGCCGGTCGGGGGGCCGGCCGCCCCTGGCGGAGCTCCCTTTTCCCTGATGGGAGGGAGGGTCGCGGTCCAGGCTGCGGTTCCGCTGGAAAGGAGGATGCGCGGGCCTGGCAGCCAGAGGCGCAATGGGGGTGCGTTTGGTGCTCAGCTGACCCGGCCAGCGCAGCGGCTTGAGGCGACGGCGCCGCCACCATGGCGGCCCGCGACCTCTTACCTCGCCCCCGTGGATCAGCGCCAGGTTGCCGGGTATGGGACGGGTCCCGCAATTCCTGGAGGGGTAGGGTGGGCTGGGCCAGGTGCCGCAGGAGCAGCGGCGTGCTCATGATGGCCAGGTGGCAGGGGGCCTGGCGGCTGGGAAAGATGATCGGTTGCTCCGCTGTGGTGTGGAGGGCCACCAGGACTGTCAGGGTCTTCGTCGTCCCCGTCGCACGCGTCGCACGCGTCACGCGAGTCGGCTTCGTCAGGGGGTGCGGACCCTCCGTGGAGCGGAGCGTGAGAAGCACCTGTTTTTTGTCGTTGTCGTTATCGAGGTCGCTAGGGAAGTGGTCCCAGGGATCCTCGAAGTCATTGGGCCCTGGCGGGTCCGGGGGTCTTGGGGACCAGGCTCTGGTGGGCCTGGTGCCCCTGGTGTCACCGTACCAGAATCGAGTGGGTTCGATTCCATGCGGTAGAGTTCGTTCCGCGCGTGCCCGGCCCGTCGATCAGGGAGGGCGGGGTGCGGTGGCGGCGGTCGTAGCTGGGTGACAGCAGCCGCGCTGTGGAGCACAGCCGCAAACTTGTGGCGCAAGTTGGCGGCCTCGGTGACGTATCGCGGCAGCTGGTGGAGGCACGCTCCATTCGTGGCCCGTTCGTCGGCGTGTCAGTTGACGGCCTCAGCCGTGGGCGAGATGAGACCGTCATGTGCCCATTTTTCACCGAGGTGGCTTTCAATCTTTTCGGCCCTGAATCGGTCTGGTTTGGCCTGCACAACGCGGTGGATGCTCCACCAGAGGTCGGCCTGAGGCCCTGTGACTGGGGGGGGGGTTCGGCAAGGTCTCGAATCCTTCGACGACAGCTTGGTTGTCGATGAGTATGTGAACAGGGAGTTCGGCTGTGGCGACCAGGTGCGGGAGGGCCAGGGTCTCCGCACGCTGGGCTGACTGGGCCAGGCCGCGGACCCTGGCCGAGTAGTTGAGGCAGTGGTTGGGGCCGTATTCGACGCCATGGCCAGCCCGGGCCAGGATAGGGTGCGCTTGGTGCGGGCAGGCTCCCTCGGTGGCCGCGTGCACCCATCGCCACCCAGTGGCGTTGCAGACGTCGACGTCTTCGGCTTCGGGCGCCGGTCGTGGTATGGTCTGCGGCAGGGGCCGCGAGCCAGGGCAGCTTGGAGGTCGAGGAGGCGACGGTCCTTTTCGATGAAGCCGCAGTGGCGCTCTTGCGGTGGCAGGCCCCGCCGTTTTTGTGGGAGATCACGGTGCCCAGTGCTTTTCGTCCGTTGTCCCAGCAGGGGCATCTCCAGAGGGTGTGTGTCCTGGGTCTCTTCTCTCTGTTGCGCCAGCGGCACGGGGGGCGGCCGCCGGCGGAAGTGCCAGCACGGGCGCGCCGTCATTGGGTGTGATCACCTCCGCAGAGTTACGGTCACGGTCCTATTCTTAGCGTGTAGTTGGAAATGCGCAAATGCACGCTAAGTGCTCCGCGCTTAGCGTGTCTCCTGCGTGGTTGGTTCTCAGCGTATATGGGAGGGCTGTTTCACCCGACCCTGTTTAGCGCGTGCGCCCCTGCGCTGCTCAGCGTGTCAACGGCCTCGGCCTCGCAGGGCCCCAAGTCACAGACACGCTAAGAATAGGACCGTGGCCGTAGTTGCACAGCAGTCCCGGCTGCCAGGCAGTGCATCGGGCCCTGCCCTCGGCGCGCTGAAGCCATCACCACGTCGTGGCGCATTAAAAACTAATGCCCTGACGCGCACGGCGGCCAGCGCGCCGAGGTCGTGGCGACGCTCTCGGCACGTGGGTGAAGAGGCCCAGCAGAAGGTTGGGCGACGAAGAGGGGGTTCCCCAGTCGTCAAGCGTGGTACCAACAGTGGTCGTTTTCTTATAAATTGTTTTGCCGATCGGCGCGGGCCCTCGCACCCCCCCGATCCCCCCCCCATGGAGTAGATCTTGGCTTTTTTTGGAGCCTGTTTCGGGCAGGTGGAGCCTCCCCCCTCGGACGCACTGTTACAAACAGTCGCATTAAGCAGAGGTCCGGAGCCAGATCCCCCCCCTCCCCCCCCTTCCGCACAATGTCGAAACGCCGAAAAAGAAAACGCTCACAAGGAGGGCCAGTTCCAGTCCTCTTGTGCGACAGCTTGCCGCGCACTGCCGATGGAGCCACCCCCTTGGAAGCTTTGCGCGCGGTCGCGCGCTTCAGCGGCTATTGCCCTGGGACAGGTGTCTCGCAGCACCTGGCGGCGCGCGCTGAGCAGGGAGTCGCGCTGGGTTGTGGCGTCGAGTGCGAGGGCGTGGCCTGGCGCGGCGAGGGCCCATCGGGACATCCACGTGCGCCCTCTGGGGCGCACAGCAGCGAAGAGGGCGTTTGCCGTACAGGTTGCGCACTTTGGCACTGGGTGCTCGGAGTGGTGCACATGCTGGTCACGGGTGGCCGCGCTGACCTGGCCCCTGCGTAGGTGCCCTCTGGGAGGCGGCCGATGCGCGGCAGCCTCGCGATGGCTCGACGGACGCGAGCAGCGGCCGTGGCGGAGAGGTTGCGGTCCGCTGGTTTGGGGGCCGATGCGAAGTTGATGTAGCCGCCGACCAGTTTCACCCGGTGGCGATTTTCCAGGGGCTGGCCGTTGAGGCTCAGGGCGGACAGCTGGCGGTATAAGTCCTCGCCAGCGGCGCAGCCAACGTCTTTGCCAGGATGCGTATTTTGACCGGAAAATTGGTCAACTAGGACCGTCTCGCAGAGTGATTCCCGTAGTTCCGCCGCGGCGGGGGCCATGGAGTTGCTGTTGTCCACGAAGGTCGTGTTGAGTGACCTTGGGACGTGTCTGCGTTGCTGCTTCGTCCAAGCGCACACCAGGAGTTTGATGTCGTCCAGTGAGGGGTCACTACCCTGAAGGTGCCCCTCAGTGTGGGTCAGCTGTGGTGAGCGGGCCCCTCCCAT